ATCAGTGAGTATAACTCATTGTTTACAGTATGTTTTAGCTGGCACTAGGTGGTGAATAACATATTCCCAGTACCTTTATAGCAGTGAAGAGTTAACATGCCTTCTGTGGATGTTTTATAAGTGCATTTTATATCACAATAAAAATTTTTCTCTTTAAGTTGTATATGTTTTGTTCTGCTTTTCTTCTATAACTTTAAAAAATATTTTGGATAATTTTGCATAGTTGAATATGTTGTTATAGGTTACAAATCCCTTTCATTAATTAGCCTGCTTAAGTTCAGAAAAGATTTCAATTGGGTTAAAACCTAGGTAAGAACAGTTGTGACTATAGAATGCTTAAACTGGGATTTTCCCAGCATGGTGGCAGTAATAAAAATGTCATGAATTAACTCATACTGTGATAGAAGCACCCCAGTAAGTTAGGGTGACCAGCTTACTTGACAGTAAATTCAGGTGACTTGCTGTTCTTTTGAAAAATGTTGATTGCTCTCGTTTGTGTGCAGCTGAGTACCACATCATTTTTATTAGGGACACACTACAGAATAGATGTCTTTGGTAACAGTGTAGGAAGACAATATGGCTGTTGGATGAGCTGTAACAAGTGCAGGGGTTACTCACCATCTAGGGCTTGGACATCTCCACTGCAGGGTACCTGGCAATGATCAGTCTTTGAAGAATTTGTGCTTATGCTGTCAGGAGACTTTGGAATAAATTAGAGTGTGATTTATGAGCTGTACAGAGACTGCAATAGAAAGAGCTATAGAGAGTTATGTAAGTGGCAACAGACGTATCTTCTACATGGCCAATCAGGCAGAAATCAATGAAAAGAGAAGCAGAGATAGTGAAGGTGAACAGGTCAGATAACCTTACAAGCATCTTCACCCCAGTAAAAAGTACCTGATGCCTGGATGGCCAATAGAGAAAAATGTCTGTCATACACCCTTGGATGTAATACTGTGTCACCCAGACAGACGTAGAAACCCAGGAAGAACGTCTCATCCTCGGTCTATTGCTGTCTTAGAGTTAAACACAAAACATAATTTCAGTTTGTAATTTTTTTTTCTAAGTCACAGTACATGATAATTGTCACTGTACACTCGCACCCTTTCTCTGTAAGTTTGGATGTTGTCAAAACCTTTTAGCCACAAACATAATTCAGTGTGTAATACCACCACCTAGCACTGCCTTACTCATTTGTACATTTCCATCTACATTTGAACACTTTGTCCTGCAGTTTCTAGAGAACACAGACATTGTCTCCTATTCATTGTATTGTATTGCATTTGCTTTTATAAATGCTGAGCCCATAGAGAACAATCTATAAATACTTGCTCAATGAGTATTTTAGGCAAGAGTATTTCCTAAGATGAAATTCCTGATTTCCTCAGAGGAATGAAATCTCAGCATTAACTTCGGAGATTGTTGCTATTGTCTCTACCTTGACCATCTCTGAGGTGAGAATCTGAAGGATCAAAAGCCATTTCTCCATGTTCATCCTTGTAGTAGAATAGTAACCTAGCAGGTCCATATGGATCTGCGGCCATTTAAGGCCATGGAACCAAAAAGTGGGAGGAATAACCGCTTAGAAAGTCTTACACTTCTCCCAATGATGATGTCAGAAAAGCAAAACATTCACTATACTACTTCTAACATCTGCTTGTTCCCCACAGACTATATTGAGGGCAACTCAGAACTGTAAAGCTTTATTTGGCCAGCTAGTTAGTAATCAGTGGGTCAGAAACAGGAAGAAAAGACAGTTGTTCCCCTAGGAATGGGCTATGCCAGCGGTTCTCAACCCTGCTGTTGCTGCACAGTGTCTTGAAGGCATCAACAAGTCTCCAAGTATGCAAACCTCTATCAAAAAAGTCTTTCAAAAATCATGCTCATTTTTTTTTGTTTCTATAATAGACTTTAGTAAGCATATTCCAAGTGAACTTATCAATTCGATACCACCAGAGGCCCTTAATTTCTGCCTTGAGAGGAACAGTGCAAATCACACCCAGTGCAGGCTGAGGACAGCTGCTGTGCTGTTTCTTCCCACAGTGGAGAAACTATCATAGGCTTAGGGGTCTGTGACGGAGCCGACACACCTGGTGGAGGGAAGGTGTGACAGCAAACCACAGCAGCGTCACAGTGAGTCACCCTTGGCCCACTTTGCTCACCGTAACGTTCAGGGGCTACCAGAATAACAAGTCGGGTTCTGAGCCCCAGGTCGCCTGTGATTTGCACGACTGTACAACTGTGCTGCTGCTGATCTTCTGTGCGCAGAAGCCTTGCTGCCACGTTCACGTACTCCAACTGCCCATCTGTCGTGGTCTGCAATCCCACATCTCAGTCGTCTGAACACACTCGTATTCTGCTATATTGCTTTCTGCTTCATTCGTGGGTCTAAAGTTCTCAGTTATGGGTGCAACTAGCCAAGAAGCCATGGTTAATGCCTGCTTGGGATTACTGACTTAAAAAGAGGTAAAGTTCAGTTGTACCTGAGAGTGTTGCTGAACCTAGTTTTCATAAATCTGATGTTAATTTCATTCGATGAAATGGAAACATCTACCAGATTATATATGTGCAATTTTCAAGATAGTAAAAGTTTACCTTCCTAATTTTAATACGGCTTGGTCATATACCACAAGCAGAGTTACATATATGGAACTTTACATATAGGCTTTTTTTTTTTTTTTAGATTTTTTTTTTTTTTTTTTTTTTGGACAGGCAGAGTGGATAGTGAGAGAGAGAGACAGAGAGAAAGTTCTTCCTTTGCCGTTGGTTCACCCGCCAATGGCCGCCACAGCTGGCGTGCTGTGGCCAGCGCACCGTGCTGATCCGAAGACAGGAGCCAGGTGCTTCTCCTGGTCTCCCGTGGGGTGCAGGGCACAAGCACTTGGGCCATCCTCCACTGCACTCCCTGGCCAAGCAGAGGGCTGGCCTGGAAGAGGGGCAACTGGGAAAGAATCCGGTGCCCTGACCGGGACTAGAACACGGTGTGCCAGCGCCGCTAGGCGGAGGCTTAGCCTAGTGAGCCGCGGTGCAGGCCTACATATAAGCTTTTAAGAAATAGTTAAGGGGGCCAGCACTGTGGCACAGCCCGTTAACGCCCTAGCCTAAAGTGCCGGCATCCCATGTGGGAGCCGGCTTGAGACTTGGCTGCCCCATTTCCGGCCCAGCTCTCTGCTATGGCCTGGGAAAGCAGTAGAAGATGCCCCAAGTCCTTGGGCCCCTGCACTCATGTGGGAGACCTGGAGGAAGCTCCTGGCTTCAGATCAGCGCAGCTCTGGCCGTTGCAGCCAATTGGGGAGTGAACCATTGGGTGGAGGACCCCCCCTCCCCGCCTCTCCTCTAACTCTTTCAAACAAAAATAAATAAATCTTTAAAAAAGGAAATAGTTATCACTTTTTAAAAGACATTTATTTGAAAGAGTTACAGAGAAGGAAAGACAGAGACATAGATAAAGAAGTCTTCCATCCACTGGTTCACTCCCCAAATGGCCAGGGCTGGGCCAGACTCAAGCCAGAAGCAAGGCGTTTCATCTGAGTTTCCATGTATGTGCCGGGGCCCAAGCAGTTGGGCCATCTTCCACTGATTTCCCAGGTGCATTAGCTGGGAGCTGGACTGGAAGTGGAGCAGCCAGGACTTGAACTGGTGCTGATATGGGATGCTGGTGCTGCAAACAGCAGTTTAACCCACTATGCCACAGTGCCGGCCCCAAATCATCATTTTAAAATAAATACTTATGTAAGCATTATCAGTGTCATAAACCATGCTGTATCCCAAATTCTGTGGGTTCCTGTTGAGATTAATTTTAATTAAGTCACTTACTTTATTTTCAATTAGCAAATGTTTCTTTTAACACTTAATTTCCAAGTGATCTAGTACTCCATTTTCTAGGAAGGCATTTTGGGAAGATCTACATGGACACTGAAGACAGTTGGCATCTACAGCCACGGCTCACCTTATCAACTTTTTTTTCCTTAAGATTTATTTATTTGAAAGGCTGAGCTATGGATAAAGAGACAGAATAACAGATCTTGAACCTGTTGGTTCCCACCCCAGCCAAGTCTGGGCCAGTCTAAAGCCAGAAGCTAGGAACTCTGAGTCTCCCACAAGAGTGGCAGGAGCCATACTTGGGCCATCATCTGCCTTCCCAGGCACATTAGCAGGAAACCAGATGAGAAGCAAGGCAGCTGGCTCTCAAACTGGCATTCTAATATGAGATGTTAGCATTGCAAGCAGCTGCTTAACTGACTATGCCACAACCTCGGCCCTTTTGTGGAACACAAAAGCCATCGTGTGGGGTCCAACGCTGTGGGTCAGCAGGTAAAGCTGCTGTCTGCAGTAATGGCATCCTGTATGAGCATGGGTTCAAGTCCCGACTGCTCACTTCCAATCCAGCTCCCTTCTAATGCACCTGGGAAAGCAGGGGAAGACAGCCCTGGCTCCTGGCTTTGGCCTGGCCCAGCCCTGGACATTGCAGCCATTTGGGGAGTGACCAGTGGATGGAAGATCTTTCTGTCTCTGCCTGTAACTCTGCCTTTCAAATAAATAAGGAAATCTAAAAAAACAAAAACAAAAACAAAAACACCACCATGTGAATGAACAATGGCAAATACTATGTTTTCCTTCTATGTATAATTTTTCTATCAATGTTCATGCTTACATAAATCCCTTCTTTCTGTTCAAAGCTATAAAGTGAATTTTCAAAGAATATAAATGAATTACAAATTTTAAGCTTAGAACAAATAGTTGAAAATCATTTAAAAAATCAACATCACTACTTTCAAAAATTTTCTCCCTGTTTATCGTAAAATGAACTACTAGGGACTGGTGGAGTGTTCAGTGGAGACCAGTACTCTGCAACCCCCTGCCACATGAGCTCTTTAATGCCACACACTCCTTAAGCAGGGGCACAACCTGGAATGTGATGGGATTATCAAAGGAGAATAAGTACGGGCGTATCTGTACTCATTTTCTATTGCTGTATAATAAATACGGCACACTCAGTGTTTAACGTAATTCGTTTATTCTCTCACAGCTGGGTATGTCAGATGTGGGCACAGCTGAGCCACGTTCTCATGCTGAGTCTCTCAGAGCTGAGATCCAGGTATCACCCCAAGCTCGGAGGACCCTGCTGTGCTCACTCCGGCTGTCAGCAGCCTCAGCACCTTGCTGCTGTTCAGCTGGGGTCCATTCTTCCCTCCTGGGGGCAGCTGGAGAGTGCTCAGCTTCAGAGGCCACTCAGGTTTCAGCCAGCATGGCCCTCTCACAACACGGTTCTTCCTTCTTCAAGGCCCATGAGAGAGCCTGACCCTACGTAGGGGTTCACCTGACCAGGTCAGGCCCCTCCCATAGAGTCTCACTTTGATAGTCCAGGTCAGCTGGGGCCTCACCTACACCTGCGAAATTCCTTCAACTTGCCTTAGCAAAGGGAAGCCTGGTTTGTGGTGAGTGACTGCTAAAATAGCACGCTGTGCACGTGATGCTATAAACATACGTCTGTAACAGCTTTCATCATTGCTCCCATAAACTTTAAATTATCACTGCAGCATTCAATTTTCATGAGTGCCTGTTCAAGAGGCACAGCAGACCAAAGTCCGACATTACAGGTAAAAACAAACAAAACCAAGGCTCAAAGCAGCTGAGTTTGTCTAAAGGTTTACAGCCTCTAGTAGTGGAATCAGCCAGGCTTCTGACCAACGTCTTTGAATCCCAGAGCTCAGTGCTCTCCTGCTGATCCTGTACCCACTGCAGGAGTTGAAGTGACACTACCCACTGAGCCCTAAGTGCTGACGACGTGGCTCTCCTCTTGGTTATTCTCAATGTTGCAGGCTCAACTCTATTTTGCACTGCACTCTGCTACCATGTTAAAGGAATCCATTTGGAAAAAAATTGGTTCAAAAACAGTTAAGGAAGCTGTATAAAAAGAAGCCAAGCATCCATTCAAGTAAAGATTTAGGAAGGTATCATCTCTTGCAGCAACTGTTGAACCTTATTAAAAAAAAAATGAAAAGAAAAACAGAAAACAAATGGCACTACATTATACAGCAGTCTGAAATATCCATAATCAAAAATGACAAATCCCACCCTTCTCACTTCTTAAACAAGTGTAAAAAATTAGTACCTTCTTAATATCTGGTCTCTTATTTTTCTTTTCATGCAGACACTGACAAGCAACAGAGTACATACTTTCAACTGAAGAGGGCTCAGCATCACTCATCTTCGTATCCACATAATCTTCAATTGTCTTTTCTTCATCTTCAATTTCTTCTTTAATGTCTAGCTTTAAAATGAGTGTTTTTTGTTAAGGGCATAAAATAAAAGTGAAAGAAGTTAGAAGACAATTTTAAATCATTTGTTTTCAACACGTACTCACATTTTCCTGCTTTTTAACAGCACTGAGAATTGAAAACACACAGGACAAACTAAATGATACTTACACATGTTTGCATTCGCATTTCTGTGTCCTTTGTGTGTCGTGTCGTGTGCTTACTTCTGGTGCTGCTGTTCATGGGAGGAGGAGTCTGTCCCCATGCTCCCTGTGTCTACTAGGCTGGCAGCACAGGTGCTTGTTTGGGATATACCTGAGAGTGCAGCTCCAGGGTCTTTACCCACAACCCCTCTCTGCTCCTGACAAACTTCTCTAAGTTTGCAGATGTTTAACCAGAGAGAAAAAAGGAAGGGGAAAGGGCAAAGGGCCATGCTGACAAAGCAATGAATAGAGGCAGGTATAGGAGGATGGGGCAGTGGGTTGAAAAGCAGATGCCAAAGCATGTCCTTCACTACTGGACCCACTAATCCAATCCACACCCAAGGTTTCAACAATATCCACACACTGACTTGTACAGACCACCTCTCTGCCCAGGCTTCTCTCCTGACCTCCAACAACCAATAGAACAGGGAATTTTATTTTGATTAAGATGAAATTTTACATTTTAATGTATCACTGTATAAATCTAAATATTTAAATAATAACTCATTCCAATATGTATCTTCTGTAAGTATACTCTAAAGTGTTTTACAACATTGCAAATGATATTGCATGATTATTTTCCCACTACATCATGGAAAATTTTATAATGCAGTTAGCTTTATGACACATACTTGTAACAGTATTCTAACATGCTGCATAAGAGTATGGCATTAGACCCTTAAGCAAATAATTATATATTTTGGCTTTTTAATCCTCATTCCAGGGAAATAATCTGGTATAAAGAAATTGTCTGAATTTGTCACAGATTTGTTTCACTAGAAATATAAATTAGAATAAATTCAGAGTTGTTATTTAACTAATTTTAATAAAAACTGTTATACATGCTGGTATATATACCATAATCTTCATTTATTTCCATAAATTTAATTTTATAAAAATATTCTGTTTTTAAAATTTTTTATACAGGGGAAAAATAGGTATATTTTTATTTGTCATTCATTTCATCTATTTTATATGATTGTCAAGGAATGCCTAATACAACCAATTAAATAATGATTTCTATAATAACCTTATAAATAAAATATTCCATAACAGAAACAGATAGAGAAGGCTTACTAGGAATTACGCTCTGAGCTCTGATGCAAATTTGAATGGAAGTCAGATGGTTCCTTTCTGGACTAAAAATGCTGTTAGCAACCACCTAGAAAATAATAAACTCAAGAGGCCTACAAGAATCCTTTAGTCCATTCTCACTTTACCCACAAAGGGATCAAAAAAGATACAGTGACTCTCTGAAGTCCACTAGTCCCCACGGCAGAGCTGACATCAGAAAGGCTTACTGCTCTTTCAAGATGCCACTGTGGGACTTCCAGCAGAAATCGCTACCTCTAGATGCCAAAGTCACCTGTATACACTGAGACTGCACACGCGAAGAGAAAATGAATTTCAATTACTAGTAACTGAGGTTCACGGTGTTCATCCACAGCTGGAAGTCCAGTTATTATTTCCAGTAACACCTGTGAAGACAGAAATGATCCATTAATAAAACACCCGAGAAAACAGAGCAATTGGAAGGAATATGGATCTTCATTAGAAACTGATGAGCTATTTGTGTACAAATCACATCTTTTAGGTATTAAAGCAGAAAGAACATGAGCTGTGGGACTGCTTCACCATCTTTCCTCAGATACCCTGCACTCCACCACGCCCACAACAGTCCTGTTCTTATTTTTTTTTTTTAAGATTTATTTTATTTATTTGAAAGACAGAGTTAAAGAGAGAGGTAGAGAAAGAGACAGAGAGAGAGAGGTCTTTTATCCGCTGGTTCACTCCCCAGATGGCCACAATAGCTGGGCGGAGCTGCGCTGATCTAAAGCCAGGAGTCAGGAGCTTCTTCCAGGTCTCCCATGTGGGTGTAGGGGACCAAGCACTTGTGCCATCTTCTACTGTTTTCTCAGGCCATAGCAGAGAGCTGGATCAAAAGATGAGCAGCTGGGACTAAAACTGGCGCCCATAGGGGATGCTGGCACTTCAGGCCAGGGCATTAACCCGCTGCACCACAACACCGGCCCCAACAGTCCTGTTCTATTAAGAGTCAGCTATGGGGGCAGCATTGTGGTGCAGAGGGTAAAGCCACAGCCTGCAACACTGGCATCCCATATGAGAGCTAGTTCAACTCCCAGATCTCTACTTCTGACCCAGTTCCTTGCTCATGTGCCTGGGAAAGCAGTGGAAGACAGACCAAGTCCTTGGACCCTGCCACCCACATGGGCAACCAAGATGGAGTTCCAGGCTCCTGGCTTTGGCTTGGCCCAGCTCCTGTCTTTGCAGCCATTTGGGGAGTGAACCAGCAGACAGAAGATCTCTTTCTGTCTCTCACTCTCTAATTTTGCTTTTCAAATATATGTGTGGGGCTGGCGCTGTGGCACAGTGGGTTAAAGCCCTGGCATGAAGTGCCGGCAGCCCATATGGCTGCCAGTTCTAGTCCTGGCTGCTCCTCTTCAGATCCAGCTCTCTGCTATGGCCTGGGAAAGCAAATGATGCCCCAAGTCTTTGGGCCCCTGTGCCTACGTGGGAGACCTGGAAGAAACTCCTGGCTCCTGGCTTCAGATTTGTGCAGCTCCAGCCGTTGCGGCCATCTGGGGAGTGAACCATCAGATGGAAGACCTCTCTCTCTCTCTCTCTCTCTCTCTCTCGGTCTCTATCTCTCTCTGTAACTCTGTCTTTTAAATAAATAAAATAAATCTTTAAAAAAATGTGTGTGTGTGTATATGTATATGTAGATACATATACATATATAGTCAGCTCCATCACACAGGTGTTTTTTTTTTTTTTTTGACAGGCAGAGTAGACAGTGAGAGAGAGAGACGAGAGACAGAGAGAAAGGTCTTCCTTTGCCGTTGATTCACCCTCCAACGGCCGCCGCGGCCGCCACACTGCGGCCAGTGCACAGTGCTGATCCGATGGCAGAAGCCAGGTGCTTCTCCTGGTCTCCCATGGGGTGCAGGGCACAAGCACTTGGGCCATCCTCCACTGCACTCCCGGGCCACAGCAGAGAGCTGGCCTGGAAGAGGGGCAACCGGGACAGAATCCGGCGCCCCGACTGGGACTAGAACCCGGTATGCCGGCGCCACAAGGCAGAGGATTAGCTTAGTGAGCCACGGCCGGCCTACACAGGTGTTCTAACCACTTCCTGTCCTGCAGGAGATTCTTCACAAGAATAACTTCCCCAAGCTCTTAGGAGGACATCCATTTCTAAACACAGCATATTCTACAAACCTGTGCCTCAGCTCCACAGAGCTAAATTTCCATTTGTGAAACACAGGAACATGTAAGACAAAGAAAAAGTTCCCCTTCTCCAGCCACTCTCACTTACCCTTAATTCTCTTATTATATGACATGATTCACTTTACTTATTTAATTTAAATTTCATTCTAATTCATGAAGACAGGTGACAAACTCTTGCAGTAATTTCAAAAGGCAACTCAACGGTTTCATACAGTGGGGGATGTTGTATACACTCACAAATAACTAGAGGTTAATGTGAACAGTTTATATCTTTTTCAGAAGATAGCTGAGCAATATAGTATCTTATAGAATCCTGGAGTTTCACAACTAGAGCAGAATGAATACTATTATTAATTACATATGAGGTGGAACTCACCACTCCAAAGCTGTAGATGTCAGATTTGGGTGTTATTTCTCCTCGCAAAGCTTCAGGCGCCATGTAAGCTGTTGTTCCCACAATTCTGCTGGTCATCACTGTCTGGGCAAACTTCTCAGATGCACGTGCAAGCCCAAAGTCAGAGATTTGGCAGTGAAGGCTTTGTCTAGTAAGATATTTGCACTGAAAAAGTTGAAGGTTTGGAGAAAAAGTGTTTTTCTTACCAGGGAAGTTAAATGGTTCCTTACACTGAAGTATGCCTGCCTACACATGTATACTGACTGAGTGTGCCATTTTGTAGAATATTTCACGTAAGCCTGAATTTATGTAAATAAATCCAGAATTCAGATTACAAAACAGGGAGATAATTATCTTTTGTTTCTTTAGGATAAATTTTTAAGAGAATAAAAATGGAATAAAACCTCCCACATTAGAGGCAAACATTTGTCTTATTCTACAAATAATTTAGGTTCCTATGGTCTTTCAAAGAACCCTTTAAAATTACTTTCTTGACATTTCTGAATTCATTTTTAAAAATATTTATTTATTTATTTGAAAGTCAGAGTTACACATAGAGAGAGAGGTGTTTCATCCCCTGGTTCACTCCTCAAATGACCACAATAGCCAGGGCTGGGCCAGGCCGAAGTCAGGAGCCAGGAGCTTTATCCAGGTCTCCTATGTGGGTGCAGGAGCCCAAGCACTTGAACCATCCTCCACTGCTTTCCCAGGTGAATTACTAGGGAGCTCCATTGGAAGTGGGGCAGCCAGGACTAGAACTGGCACTCAACTGGGATGCTGGCTTTGTAGATGGCAGTTTTATCTGCTACACCCAACGCCAGCTCCTGACATTTCTCAATTCATTTAAAAAATGAGTTTCCAGGGGGCCTGCACTGTGGCATAAAAAGGCCCTGATCCAGCTCCCTCCCCATGTGCCTGCAAAATAGTGGAAAATGGCCCAAGTGCTTGGGTCTCTGTGTCCATGTGAGAGAAGCTCCTGGCTCCTGGTTGCGGCTTGGGCTCACCAGCTGCTGCGGCCATTTGGGATTAAACCAGAAGATGGAAGACCTCTCTCTTTTTCTCCCTCTCTCATTCTGTATAACTCTGCTTCAAAAAAATCTTAAAAAAAGTTTCCAATCAAAGCATCTCAATTATTCATTTGTTAAACTACTTTGTCTGTCCCATATGTACTCTTTTGAAGCTGAAGATTAGGGCCAAAAGCTCTTCATTCTATATATTCATAGTCCTCACTAAATAAAGTCTTACTGAAAACTTCTCATCTTTCATAGTATTTAGGCTCAATGCCTGGCATGGAGCAGGCAGGAATCATAGAATCTTGTCTGTGTCAAAGGCATTTGAGTAATATTTTTAAAATCAATAAATGTTATATAATTGTAGCAGTAGGTATGAAATGCTGAGAGAACCATGTGTCAGCAAGAATTGGGGAAAATTCCAAAGAGAAGGTGAAAGCTTAGTTTGGAGGAATTCCCTGAAGCTGATGGTTGTGCAGAAAACAGAGCAGTGCATTGCAGAGTCTTGTAAAGAACGATGACATCATGAAAGCATGTGGTGTAAAGGACCAACATCAAGAAACCAGTGTCCACGGCCATGCTGGGCATTTGAACTTCATTCTGTAAGCAACAGGAACCAGCTGAAGATCTCACAGTACACATCAGACTTAACTCTTAGGAGGACACTCTGGCAAGGCTGCAGTGAACAGATGAGAACTGGTATAGACTGGCTTCAGGTTCACAAGGAAGTTTTATAGTAAAGCGAATGGAAGATAATGAGGTTCTGAACAGAGGCAGAAGACTGGGCTGGCAACCTGGAAGTGCAAAATTCGAGGCAGCTGCAGGACTGTGTAATCTGTATGACACAGGCAGTCATCTTTAGCTTGGGGGACAGCGCCTTAGGGACTTGACTGATCAGAAAGGAAACAGGAAGGTTTTGACTGAGGGTTGCTGAGACAATGAGTTTGATTACTGACGAGTTGATGGGAAGGCTCCGGTGGGACAACCAAGTGAGGGTACTACAGACATGGGGTCCCTGAAAACACAGGACTGGAGGCTGTGTACAGACTTGAGTCTCTTTGCCTACAGAGAGAGAGTTAGAGTTAAGATAATATCATGCAGCAAGAACACGGGATAACAAGGCAAGGACATGAGGAAAAACCAGTTCCTAAGGATGAGAGTGAGATCAGACCCTCTGCTTGGGCTCCTTCCTACATTCTTAGGAACCTTACTCTGCAAGCTGTCTCATCTCTGTCTTCCACAGAATCTTTTCCTGCTTTTCTGGACCCTGAGTATAAGCATGCTTTTATCTCTGCTATCTTAAAGCATTTCCTGGGTGGTGTGTCTACTTGCACCTAACACCCATCAGCAGCCAAAGGTCTGGGAGACTTGTCTGTCCTCCCTCCTGGGCTCTCGCCTCCCACTTCCTCTGCAACCCCCAGCGGCTCTTCTGAATGCTCCCTCTTGGGACACCCCTCCGTGTTTCCAGGGACTCACTCTGGTCCTGTTATCATCTCACCTTTGTGTGCAGGTACCTTCTGAGATTACTTTTGGGGATCTCTTCCTCTTAGCCACTAACTCTTAGGGTTCCTTGGGACTTAATCCTAGGCTGTTTTCTTAATTTCTCTCTCCCTCCAGGTGAACACAATCATACAGCAACTCTTAACTAGTATCTCTACACAAGTAATAGACATATTTATGCCTTCGGCTCAGCTGTCTTTCAGCTCCACACCTGCACAGCCCACTGTCTAGTTAACACCACCACTCCCACACCTTAAGAAAACAGCAAACACAACACGCATAAAGAACTCATATTTTCCTTCCACTCCTAACTTTCTCCTCTTTCATTCCTTTCTGCACATGTCAATCAGGCCACGTGCATTCCAGACTGCAGGTCTGGAAGCTGTCATTCCAGGAGTTATTCTTAAAACACTTCTCTCATACAACCCTCCCTTCCCACAGCCAAGCTATCAGCAAGCACTGCCATCTCTCTCTCGATCTATGCACTTCTCTTCCTAGGACCTGCCCCCACCAAGACTGCTGATCGCCTACTGCCTGGCCATCTTACACACTGTTCCCCTCTCTCTAGGCTTTGTGTGCAGCACAGCCAGCTAAGCCAACACCTGCAATACCGGCGTCCTATATGGAGCACCTGTTTGAGTCCTAGCTGCTCTGCTTCTGATTCAGCTTCCTGCTCATGCTCCTGAGAAGGCAGCAGGTGCTGGCCCCTGCTGCCCACGTGGGAGACCAGGATGGAGTTCCTGGCTTCTGCCTACCCCAGCCCCAGCCCCTACTTCATTGAGAAATGAAGTAGTAGATGGAAAATCTTTCTCTTCCTCTCTCCCTTTCTGTCGTTTTGCCTTTCAAATATATAAATCTTTAAAAAAGAAAAGAAGTGATCTCTGCAAAGCTTGGACATGACACCACATCCCAACATAGTCTTGGGTGGTGTCTCATTACACTTCTGAGTCCCACAGCTTGCAGCTCGTGCCCACTCCATCATCTCTCCTCACATCTCCTGCATTTTCCACATGCCAATCATGCTGATTCACTTCATGGCTTAACCCAGTATATTCCAGGATTCCCTTCACTGCTAAAATCACAAATACAGTTCCTTCAGCCTAGAATGTTCTTTTCTTCTTCTTTCATAGCTGCCCTCATGTTATGAAGACTTATTTCCTGCTAATTTTTTAAAACTCAGCTTAAATATCACTTCCTTGGGAGCCCTCCTTTATACTAACACTATTTCAATACAATAAAATTCTATAATCTTGTGAAGATCTGATGGAAGCCAATTCTGTACATGATGCTTTTGCTATCTGTTCCATGTACATTCCCTACTGTAGGGAAATACTTAACCAGAGAAAAACATCAGCAGGAGAGCTGAAAGCACTCACAGAGGATGACAGTGATTCAGAAAAGAATATTGACCCACAAACCAAGAAAGGATCAAATCTACACAAGGTGAAATGGTCAAGGACAGAGTAACACGCTCTTTTTTTTTTTTTTTAACTTACAGATACTTTATTGCTCACCTTTCACACACAGCACACCTCTAACCATTTTCTTTCACAGCTTGACAATGTTTACGTACACAAAAACCCAGCAAGAAGCATCATGTCACGGAGATGTCAGTAAGAGAGAATGTAAAACATCAACTCAGCCAGGCTTTTGTTTTCTGCAGCAATAATAAAGGCCGCCTGCACTAAGCAAAAATGTTTTACTTCGTAGCGCATTTCTTCCATTACAAAAAGTCTCCTGCCTAGAGCAAACTAACTTGTATTTGCTGAGCCAGTGGTATTAGTAACACGCTCTTAAAACATAGAGCCGGCTGGCGCCGTGGCTCACTAGGCTAATCCTCCGCCTAGCGGCGCCAGCACACCGGGTTCTAGTCCCGGTCGGGGCGCCGGATTCTGTCCCGGTTGCCCCTCTTCCAGGCCAGCTCTCTGCTGTGGCCCAGGAGTGCAGTGGAGGATGGCCCAAGTCCTTGGGCCCTGCACCCATGGGAGACCAGGATAAGTACCTGGCTCCTGCCATCGGATCAGCGCGGTGCGCCGGCCGCAGCGCGCCGGCCAGGGTGGCCATTGGAGGGTGAACCAACGGCAAAGGAAGACCTTTCTCTCTGTCTCTCTGTCTCACTGTCCACTCTGCCTGTCAAAACAAAACAAAACAAAACCAAAGAGCCAGGCTAAGTGGGGCGAGTCCTAACAGTCGGTCACTGGGTTTGTGGGAGAGGAGACTACAGAAGTCCTTCGTGGAAAGTGCTCTCCCAGACTGATGAGGAGAAGGCCCAGGGGCTCTAGGTTGGGGCACACATGTCAGCAGGGAACAGAATGACCGAGAACATATTCTCTGAAGGTGACTGTCTCTAAGCTCTTCAATAGCAGCATTTACCTTTTAATATCTCTATGAATATGATGATTTTCGTGTAAAAAGCTGATGCCAGCTGCAGCACCCTGAGCGATGTTGCATCTTGTGTGCCATGAAAGTGGTGCTGTATCATCCTTACAAAGAAACAAACCAATTAAAAAGAGGAGGAAAAAAGACAAAAAAATTATGGAAAACATTTAACAGAGAACATAATGGCACTTTAACAGGTTCATGGAAATGGAATTATTTTTTGCACCAATGTAAATTATGCCTTAATTCTGCTGTCCTACAAACCTGTTGACATATCCTCATATTATTTTGGCAACAATGAAAATGATATTATTAATAAGAATTTATGATGAAAATTTTTTGAAGTTCTTAAATATCCAATGTGGTTTAGCATTTCTCATTTGAAGATCAAAATATGAAACAGAATCTTTTGAGACTGGTGCTGTGGTGCAGCGGGTTAAAGCTCCAGTCTGCAGCGCTGGCATCCAATATGGTCAATGGTTGGAGTCCTGGCTGCTCCATTTCCGATCCAGCTCTCTGCTATGGCCTGGGAAGGCAGTGAAAGACAGCTCAAGTCCTTGGGCCCCTGCACCCAAGCAGGAGACCCAGAGTAAACTCTTGGCTCCAGGCTTCAGATTGGCCCAGCTCCAGCCGTTGTGGCCATTTGGAGAGTGGGCAAGCAGATGGAAGACCTTTCTCTCTCTCTCTGCCTCTGCCTCTCTGTAACTCTGCCTTTCAAATAAATAAATAACTCTTAAAAAAAAACAAAAAAACAAAAAAAAAACAAAAAACAGAACCTTTAAAGTCTAGCCTCCGTGGATAATTTCACATTTTAGATCATCACCTACAGAAATGGCAACTCAGTCGTTTACATATCACTTGTACAATTTCCTACAGGAGGAGAAACACCAATTTAAATGTGGTTTAAATACCCTAGCACAGAAACAGAAATCCTCATGGCCTGATGAACAGGGATCTTACCAGGCACAACAATCTGTCCAGCAATGAGCCATTGGGCATGTAGACATACACGAGGCAGAGATCATCTCCATCCTTTGAGAAACCAAGCAGTTGTACCAAGTTTTCATGCTGGCACCTGTGACAAAGAGTTTGCAGAGAAAAATTTCTACATTATATACTTATACACTCAGCTGTAGATCAGAAGTTATTTAATTTAGAGCTTTAACAGAAGAACAGGAAAACAGTGTTCTATATCATTAACAATATGTTTATAGTATCTGTATATTTATTCTAGCTGTTCTAATTTTCTGTAGTTATTTTTTCCAGTCAATACTGATCAACAATAGAAGCAAAACCTTTCAATTTTGTAACAAAAGCTCAGTGATTCAGACCACTGGAACTTGCCACAGTTTGGCTAAGGGCTAGGTGATGGTTACCTTTGAATAGCAAAATTTTCAATGATGGCACAAACAAAAATTTCAGTTCTGTTCAAAGTTTTATGATAACACTTTCAAGAATTCACCAATGCTCTAAAAGAACGGATGTATAGATGCAGTCTTTAATTTATATATTTCTGATCTCCAATCATACCTGATTATTTAGGCCCTAGTTTGAGTTTCTTTATATAGTTGACAGTAGAGAAAAAAGAGTGTTATGGTATGACAGCACAGATCTGGGTCCAGAAGGAAGCAGACTAGGCTCAGAATGCAAAGTCCCCCAAGAGAGTCAAGCTCACGACATCCTGGATCAATCACCCTCACTGAGCCTCTTCCTTTACCTACTCTATGTAGAAAATACTATCTGTGAGAATTAGATGAGCAAATAGACATAAATGACCATTACTTATCTATACAGTCATCTGGGTATATATTTGGAAAGTCCTTTAAAAATTGTATGTATTCTGAACTACTGATTCTTCTTCTAGGAATTCATTCTCACAAAATAAACAGAATTGTGTTTAAAGACTTACATACTGGCTGGCGCCATGGCTCAACAGGCTAATCCTCTGCCTTGCGGCACCAGCACACAGGGTTCTAGTCCCGGTCGGGGCACCGGATTTTGTCCCGGTTGCCCCTCTTCCAGGCCAGCTCTCTGCTGTGGCCAGGGAGTGCAGTGGAGGATGGCCCAAGTGCTTAGGCCCTGCACCCCATGGGAGACCACGAGAAGCACCTGGCTCCTGCCTTCGGATCAGCGCGGTATGCAAAAAAAAAAAAAAAAAAAAAAAAAAAGACTTACATACCAAGAGCTTTAAAGGAGCTTTAATTTATAATACTGAAAATTAAAAACAAATAGAGTAGGGTGATGGTTACTCAAACACGACCCTCATGCTTGCTATAATACTATATGATACTTCTAAAAGTTTTCAAATTTTTATGACTAGGGAAATACAACATCATAAATAATTCATCATAAACCAAAACACTGAAATATTTGCAATGGTTCTCAATGATAAACTCAAGATGGCTTCCACTGTTGTAAAAATATTTTCCTGCCTGTATTTCCAAGATTACCTACTTTGTACAAGTTAGTTTTAGGATGGGAGAGTGAGGGTAAGGGTGAGAAGAATAAAGTCTTGGAAGAAAAAAGAGTTTTGATGGTTCCATTGTATAATATTTTACTGTGCATGAACCAACTCCATTCTATTAATTCTTCTTGCAGTTAAAGAAGCAAAACTGGTGACTTACAGACAGGACAATTATGGGTGAAATTTGGCAAATTCCATTAAGATTCAGATTAGAAACAAAGAACTGGGTGGATCTGGATTTGAATCCCATCTAGTGGCTTTGTGACCTTGGCAAGTTACTTTGCAGTCTCAATTTAAAACACAGAAAGATGGCTGGAAGAGTTTTTGTGAGGATTAAGTAAGACTATGCATATGAAGTACACAGCACAGTGTCTGAGGAACTGGATGCACTCAATTATCAACCATGTTAATTATGAGAGTAATCATCCAGATCTGTCCCTCCTCCCTTCCTGATGGTGCCAATGATATCCCACTCTACGGGGTGGACGCTTTCTCAGCAACCCTGCACCTAACCCTTCCCTAGCTCCTTTATGGCCATCAGCTTCTATCAAAGGGCCTACTCTGTAAATGGGTCTTTTAAAATTCTCCCTACAATTAGTATCTCATGAATTCTGGAAGCAGACAATATGATAATGGAAGACAGTTTGAATTCCACATAAATTCATTATGCTTTAAAACACTGCTATGTAATCTACAGGCATGGGAGCTGAGTAGTCAGAGAAATATACAGATAGAACTACTTTCCATTCTTTTCATCTCAATGCTATACTTCAATCTCATGTTCTTGCAAGATCACTAGTTCATGGCACACTCTGGGTAAGAAAGCATGTTCCTTATACGTGGTCTTGTCTTCTATGACTCCCCACTACCAATGAACACTTACTTTGCCATTACTTTTATTTCTTGTTCAAACTGTTGTTTCAGTTCTTCAGTACTAATATCAACCATCTGAAGAAAGAAACAAATGTATGATATAATACAACACAATTATTCTTGGCTCATGGGCTCAGCTGATTAGCTCTCATTTCATAAAAAAAAGTAGGGTTTTATTCTGCTAATTGTGTAGAACAAATGAGATAGATAAATAAATATTAGTGATTTGCCCAAGGTCTCATGGCTATGAAAAGAAAAGTAAAAATTAAAAAAAAAAGGACCTCACTGAGATGAAAACAAAATGAGATTTAACCACATCAAAAATATGAGGAAACATTATGTTACAGAAAAAGTGCACAAGCAAATTTGAATGCAAAAGAAAACAAAACCTCCCAAAGTATTTGCCACATACGTGACAAAGAGTAGCTATCTTCATCATCTACCTTTGGATTCCACTGATATTTTTAAGATCTAACTGCAGATTTAGAATAGAACAAGTCAATAAATAACAGCAAACATTCAGTAGAAATAAGTAGAAAAGTCACAGACAAGAAACGTTTCAATCTGTTTTCCTTAATTTGTATTTTCTAAATTATTTTAAAAGAGAAAAGTAATGCAAGCCAAGTTTTATAAATTTTTCTTTGGATCTTACCATTTTAACTTTGATTATACATGAAGAATCATTGAAAGCAGGGCTTCTCTACTAAAATTAGAAGTATGATCATATCTGTGTCCATACCCACATCTTTTCAAATATTAAGGGTTAGGAAACTGGCGCAGATGGCCGCAAGGCCCAGCTACCTGAGCCAGGCTCCACCCCCACCCTAATGGGATTCGCTGTTCCAGCTTCCCTTCCTGCCCTTAGGCAAAGTTTTAAAAGGGCCTGTTCCTGAACACATGCTCTCTCTTGGCCCTTCTCTCCTGCTCTCTTGGTTCCTCTCTCCAGCCTCCTCCTCTGGGATCTTGGCTCTGCACTCCTCTCTCCTCTTCTCTGCTTTATCTTCTCTCCTTGCTAGCTCTTCTCCTCTCTGTCTCTCTCTCTTACAGTCTCCCTCCCTTTTTTCCTTCGCCACCCCTTCACTCCCATCTGTAGGTTGTTCCCCAATAAACCCTTTCCCTTACTCCGGTGTCCCGTGTGCTTTGCGACGGCTAACATTAAGATATAACATTAAGAACTATGAGAAATCAGAGTTGTGGCTCAGGGGCTTAATTAAGCTGCTGCTTATGACACTGGCATCCTGTACTGGAGTACTGGTTCAAGTACCAGCTACTCTGCTTCCAATCCAGCTCCCTGCTAATGTGGAAAGCAGTGGATGATGGTACTTGAGGTCCAGTGCCTCATATGAAGTTCCTGGTCCTGGTTTCAGTCTGGTCCAGACCAGGCCACTGCAGCCATTTGGGGAATGAGTCAGAGAAGGGAGGCTCTCCCTCTCTCCCTGTCTCTTCCTCTCTCCCTGTCTCTTCTCTCTACTGCTCTGTCTCTTAAATTAATATTTTTCTTTAAAAAAACAAACAAGAAACTATGAGCTTAGAATGACATTATTTATAAAAATACACACTGAAATGCTGTATTTCTTAAGATCAGGTTTAAACTTGTGACACAGAGCTAGTAGAGACCCTCCTGATATTCCTGAGGATGCACTTACTGCTGCGAGCTTCTTCACTGCCACGGGAGTGTTGCGCAGGCAGCCTTTGTACACCACGCCAAAGCCCCCCTCACCCATCTTGTTACCACCACGAGCAATGGGTCGTTCGTCAAAGTCATTAGTGATGCTCCTCAATTCATAAAAGGAGAAGCTGTGAAAACCTGTAATGTCAACAGGAGAAATGTGCTTCAGTAAAAAAGAACTTGCTTTCAATAATTCCAGTATTTTCTCTACTTGCAGATTCCCCATCTTTTTGCAAATATTTTACACTTTTAGACTAGGCAAGATAGGAGAGGGTAGCCATCATTAAAATATGAATAATGTACTCTAGCTTGAGAATTCTGTTTGCTGATCCCACTCACCAAATAACTTAGTCATGCACTGAGAATTATAGTTCCGGGTTAGGGTGGTGTTGTTAAGAAACAACTCTTTCAAGTTATAGATAGAAACATGTACTTACATTTTTGATGTGTTCTATAGTTGTTTGCCTGCCATATTGCCCACAATCACTGATCATAGAGTGATTATAATATAATGAAGAAAGTACTTAATAAACGAGGAGGGAAAACACCCACAACAGAGCTATTGCTCCTGCCAGAATAGGAGAGACTGATTTTGAGTGATGATACTCTTTTAAAAGTATTATTTACTTACTTACTTTATTTATTTATTACTTATTTATTTTCATTTTTGTTTGAAAAGCAGAAGAGAGAAAGAGAAATGCAGAGAGAGATCTTCTGTCTACTAGTTCATTTCCTAACTACAACACACAGAACTGGGCCAGGCCAAACTCAAGAGCCTAGAACTCAGTCTGGGTCTCCCACATGGGTGGCATGGATCCAAGTACTTGAGCCATCACCTGCTGCCTCCCAGGGAGCACACTAGCAAGATGCTAGAATCAGGAGATGAGTGCGGACCCAAACCTATGTACAATGATATGCAATGTAGATATCTCAAGCATGGTCTTAACCATTGTCCCAAATTCCCCCTCTGCACCCCAGCCCCAAGAATGACAGCCTTTCAAATCCTCAAGTGGAAAGCACTACAAACATTACTTACGTGTATCACTAACTCCTAGACTTTTATTTTCTGGACTTGAGGAGTCAGGAAGTACACAGTTTTTTTCAAGATTCTGTACAGGTATCACTGATGTCTTGCCTTTGTCATGAAAAGGAATCAGTTTCTGCTGAACTGTTACAGCCTCCTTAGCAGGTAATGTGTTGACAGTTTTGGGGAGAGCGTCTGCCAGAAAAAACAAGATACAAGTTGTTCTTCCAACAGAAAAAATCATTTGTGAAAAAGTTAAACCAGTAACTCAAGTCATTTAAAATCACTCCAGTTCTCCTGGGTGGGCGCTATACTGTTACAGCACACACCAGGAACTATCTAGGAAGGGCCTGTAAGTTATGACAAAGATGGGTAGAGAGAGTAAGGCGCATTTTCACCAAGCGGTCCATGAATCACTTGCATCAGAGGCCCTGAAGTACCTGTTTAAGAACACAGGCCTTAAACCAATCCCAAAATCCTGACTAAGTATATCTAGAATGGCACCTAGAAATAACATGTTTAACAAGAACCCCCAGTGAGTGTTACACACCACAAAGGTTGAGAACCACTAGTATAAACAGCATCCAAAAGGAAAAAGTGAGGTTCTGGTGGAAAGTAACAAGATACTAAGTTACCAGAGACACAGTAGGGAGGTAACCATCACAGAGTCCCCTCAGAGGAGAAAGCAAAGACAATAAAATGCAAGAGCTCAAAAGGAGAACTACCTTCCTACACCCTTAACTAGGTATTTGGGGACTACATCCTCCTGAACTTTCCACAGGCACAACACTACTTCATTGGTGCGACACAACTCAGTCCTTGAAGCTCTCCCACCTCAACGGGAAAGTCTGCAGGGGCCGGGGGTCTGCTGTGGTTCCCAGAGGTGAGGAGAGTGCCAAAAATGAAGAGAATCTGGAATGTAAGGCTTTTCTACTAGAGAAGCAGAAACGTTTCTGTTGCTGCCATTCATCTTGCCACCTGAATTGACATCCTGGTCACACTCAATTACCTGGTAGCAAAAGACTTGCAGGAGCGAAGAAAAACTCATTTTGGATCAAAAGATCCACAAGATGCACCAACTGTGCAATTCGTCGTGCCCCAATCAAACAGTAATTCGCACGTGGGGACTTTTTCCAGTTTGAAGTAATGCTTCAAATCTCCTTAAAAGCAAGTAACAAAGAAAGCCAAAATGAGTAAGTGAATGAGTCCATATGAAAATGGGAGTTATGTCCCCATGCCCCTGTCCTCACTCATAGCACCTGCTATGATACTCAAGGAAAGAGAGAATAGGCAGAAATACCCAGAGACAGAAAAGGCAGAGGGAAAAGGTGCGACAAAGTTAATGACGCAGTTAACACAAAACTGAGCACTCACTGAGCATTCACACAGCAGCTCCAGGATGCACACGTGGCTTTATTGGAAGCTAGCATGATCATCATGCTGACCAATTGAGAAAGCCAAGGCTCAGTGAGGTCAAGTAACCAGCCCATAGCCACACAGCTAAAAGATGCAGCCAAGCTGAGATAAAGATTTGGATCTCGCTTGACATAGGATGCTCATTACTTAGCTACATTACTCCATACTTGACTAACTCTGCAGAAAAATTTTAAATAAATCAGCCTATATACTTGAAGAAAACAGACTATGCATAAACTTAAAAAATCCCTTTGATCTTAACTGTATTCCTACTGAATTGATCTTTCATTGCATTTTAAAAAGTTAACAATTAGTTTTGAAATGCTTTAAAAACCAGCACTGTTTTTCTGTTTTTGAAGTTCACAGGAAAGCTAATAACATCATGAAAAACCATTACCTTTCACCCAGATTTGCACTGACTGAGTTGGTAACAGTTTGTACTTTCAACGCTCTTGGAGTTCTCTCTTTCGGTCAGTGTGCGTGTGTGTATGTGTGGGAGGAGAGTAGGCCAGATGTCCTGTGCGCATAGGCCTGATGGCTGAGGACGTATCTGAATACTTTCTCACGGTTAACATTCAGGTTAAAATTCTGGCAGAGACACTGTACAGGTGATCATGTCCTCTCCACCCTCACATCTCCAGAGGCATTTTGTACGTTAAGTTGATGCTGTCCAATCACTTTTTAGGGAGAGTACCTCATACTTTGTCTTTACAAAGTCCTTTTCTCTCTGTAATTTATAGCCTTGGATATTCTGCTGTTCATTCGCTAACAACCAAAGAAAGTTTTGACATAGTTTAACTGCCAATGACTAAGTAAACTCTGCATTTATATCTTACCTACACAGCAGAGAGGAGTGGAGAAGAAAAAAATGGAAATCATCTGAACAGAGTCAGATACCCAGCTAAGATCTAAGGATTCTGTTCTTGGGTATGTTCTCTTTCCAAGCAACAACTTTCAAATTCAATTAGAACAACTCCCCACATGTTGTCAAACACATTAGCAATTCACAGACTTGGAAATGCAGGCTCCAGAACTTAATAGTTCCTGTAGCAATCTTCTGTTCCCTCTATCTGGAAATGAGAAGTGTGAGGCACAGTGAACTGTTCTGGGCTTACCAGCCCAAGCCCATGAGCAAAGGTGGGAATCTTGATTCTAAAACAAACACTCATTTGCAAGATCACATTACCAGCTTAGCTGATATAGGAGAATAAGGCAGTAACTGCACACAAAAAGAGGTTTCCCATCACCACGATCTCCTCTACTGTAGAGTTTACTTTCTTCAGTACATCATCAAAAGTATCAATATCTACAAACCTCTCTAGATCGTGATGTAAGAATTTGAGAAGAAAAAGAATCTGTCACCTGATGTGTAATTGATTGTATCTGTCATCCCCAGATGGTTTCTTAATAGCTGCGGCTAATTTCTTCCATCCTTCCTGAGGATCAATAAAATCTGACAGCTTCCGAATCAATCCAACATTGAGGCAGCGCACATACGTTTGATGGTGATATGGGTTGTTCATCTTTTATGCCTAAAACATGGAAAGTACTCACTAGGATTTCACAGTTTTAGAGACAACATTCATAAACGTACACCTCACACTGTGTTGCATCATATGAAAGCTGGCAAGACTATACCAATGTCAACTAGCTGACATCCTAAGAAGAAATTAGAATTGTAGTTTATTTGTCTAATTGAAGGACTTTTTTCTGACACTGAGATTTTCCAATTGGATCTTAGACAAAGGAGCAAAAACTTAGATTTATCAGAAAAATTCCTATGAGCATACTCAGAAATCTATTTTTAAAAGATTTTTATTTATTTATTTGACAGATAGAGTTAGACAGTGAGAGAGAGAGACAAAAGTCTTCCTTCTGTTGGTTTACTCCCCAAATGGCTGCCACGGCCGGTGCTGCGCTGATCTGAAGCCAGGAGCCAAGTGCTTCCTCCTGGTCTCCCATGTGGGTGCAGGGGCCAAAGCACTTGGGCCAACCTCCATTGCCCTCCCGGGCCACAGTGGAGAGCTGGACTGGAAGAGGAGCAACCGGGACTAGAACCCGGCGCCCATATGGGATGCTGGTGCCGCAGGCAGAGAATTAACCAAGTGAGCCACGGCGCCGGCCCCTCAAATCTATTTAAAAAGAGATTTGCATTTCAACTTAAAATATTTCTCTCAATCAGTACTTATTAACTACTAACAATTTATACAACATTCTTTGGTACAAGTAACAAAAATGTACTAGCATCCAAAGATAAGGCCTACCCACTTGCTTTTGACACAGCATGCACTCCCAGAGCCCTGAAGCTATTGCTGAGTCTGGGAAATCTGCCTGACCACCACAGTTTTTCCTTATCACGCCCAAATCTGTGGTTCACCATGAGCTTTTCTCTCAATTTCCTTAATCCGTTTTTTGCTATTCCCTCTGGAGAGCTGCAGCCAGGATAAGTCTGACAACGTGACTTGTACATCAGAGCTGCTGAAAACAGCTGTAAAGAACTTACTGTCTGAAGCCGGCGCCGTGGCTCAATAGGCTAATCCTCCACCTTGCGGCGCCGGCACACCGGGTTCTAGTCCCGGTTGGGGCGCCGGATTCTTCCCGTTGCCCCTCTTCCAGGCCAGCCTCTGCTATGGCCAGGGAGTGCAGTGGAGGATGGCCCGGTGCTTGGGCCCTGCACCCCATGGGATACCAGGAAAAGCACTGCTCCTGCTCCTGCCAGGATCAGCGCGGTGTGCCGGCTGCAGCGGCGGCCATTGGAGGGTGAACCAGCGGCAAAGGAAGACCTTCTCTCTCTGTCTCTCTCTACTGTCCACTCTGCCTGTCAAAAAAAAAAAAAAAAAAAAAAAACAAACAAAAACTTACTGTCTGAACAGACTGGGTGAATACAAATTCATGGGGATCCCTTTCCAGGGGGCCTTCCACGTGCTGTTCATACTTTTGTTCCTTCTCCCTGCCCTCAGTGACTGTGTCCTGCCTTTCCTTCTCTCCAAGTGGTCGCTACTTGTCTCCATGTTCCTCAGTCTCAGTATGTGGTGATATTTCCTTCCTATTAAAGTGGTCGCTACTTGTTCTCCATGTTCCTCAGTCTCAGTATGTGGTGATATTTTCTCCCTATTAAGACAGATTCAGACTTTGCATTATTCTGCCTCCTTATATATTTTTATTTTCAAGAAAACGCTTTTTGGAGTAAATCTACATTCATTGGCACAAAATTCAAAAGCTAGAAGAGCAGAGGCAGATCTCTGTATCCTAGGTTTCCAAGTTAGTAGGTTTTCAGTCTTCTCTTTGTCTTCCTTCTTTGGTCAACGTCCCCTCCATCCAGAGACTTCTCATCACTACACCTGTACTGTAATCCTGTATTTGCTTGCTGACACTTTAACTATCTATCTGTCTCCCCATTAGACTTTAAGCTCCATGAGCTCAG